GTTTCCGGAGTTTGTCAAGGGATTAATTTCAACGAGACAGAGCTTCTGAAGTTAACAAGTGAGACAAATACCTGACAATTCTCACTCTCCTTCAAATGCCGGCAGGAATTATAAGTTAATAATTACACAAATTAGTGGTCCGTTGCAGCAATCAAAATGTCAGAATAACCTGCACTGTCGCACGCAATGGCTCTAATTTCTGACACATCGAAATAATTTGTACAACATTACACAGTCCAAACGTCGTGTTTGAGTAATCATGAGCTACTTCTTAACATTCGTGAGGTCCCGGCTTCAAATCTCGGTCCCAAGACTAGATATAACGTCGTTTTCCTCTGTCCCTACTGCAAAATTTATAGTAGCTACGTTAAAGCGGTCCACCATCAATGTCTGGAGAATTTGTCTCGGATAATTACGACGAGAAGTAATAAGTTCGGTTCATATAACCTAACGAGACAAAATGACAACTCTGAAAGAAGGAGAAAGTGAATTTACTGTCAGATGAAAAAGTTGAAAACTTTTTAAATAGGCTAAAACTCGGTTTTAGAAAGTTAAACAAAAAGCAGCCATCTTTTTTCATTTAAAATCTTGTAAATCAGTGTAAGTTACATGAAGTTGACTACTTTATTTCTAAATGAATCTTAAGTCGAGATATCGAAACTTGCATCTCTGGGTAAACACTAAGTAGGTTTAATCTTCACTTTAAAACTGCAGATTAAGACAAATAAATGGGACTTAATTAAATCCTTCTCTGTTCTGAGTCTATATTACTAAAAACTCAAGTGTGCCAAAAGTTCGAATCTTACAATTTTGTCGGCCCCAAATCTGCGACTCACACACACATTCTACAAGAATCATGTTTACAATACGCAAATACGAAATTCGCAACAAATACTGCGTTTGAACACGTCTACGCAGACAGACCTAATTGCATGATCACACGCAATGCTGATAAGCTGATAGTCGCTCGGCTGGTTATTACATTTATGCAAGCTAAAGGTTCTTTACCGTGTTCACAAAAGCCCGACACTTAAACCGTATCCAGAGCCAGTTGAATCGAATCCACATGCTCAAGATCCATCTCAAATCAGAACTTATGTAAAAATTCACGTCAATACCGATCTTCTGGTTTGCAAGACTGTGTGGAACTGTAGGTATATACAAATATTCCGGAAATACATACTGCCTCCATCCTAAGGGTGGAAGGCGAGAACCTCAAATCTCAAATGTAGAAACTAAGTTCAAATTTAATCAGGATTTCTTTTTTGCTGAACACACTCCACTTTCTACCCCCTCCAACTCTCACAGCCCATCTTCCTAGGAAACAACATAATGTTTTCCTCCCATCACCTTCTAGGTCTTCCAAGTGGGTGTTTTCTAACCGCTCCTCTCTACCAAAATTCTGCATGCAGTACGCAATTCCCGCTCCCTGCATCGCAGCCTCCTCATTTTCCTGGTATTCTTCAGTATTGACACAGATGTTCGCTTCTCGTACAAGTGAGTAAAATGCCATAGGCGAAACAGTAAGCTCGTGGACGACATTTTGCTCGATCAACTTCCTGGACGCTGTCCAGGGTCATAGAGGATGCACTTAATTAAGCACCTCTCATCGCCCCCCCCTTTTCTTCATCTTCTTGAGACACACACTAACTCAATTTCCGCGTGAGCCGTTGCCATGACAACAACCGGCAGCTTCCCTCCCCCACTGCTATGACACGTCCAGGGACTTAATCAACATTAAGCTACCTTCGACGTATAATTAACATGACGCTTATGATCACGCTGACGGGCCTGGACTTGGAGACCGGTCACTTAATTCTAATTGCACTTAGGACAGCCTTAAGGGTACACGTCAGCAAACAGTGGGAAAAGTGAGGCACACTGCGGGGCCCTTTGTCTACTCCCCAAATAAACCCTTCTCAATCTTTTTAAATCGTGTAGGATTTGAGATTCTCACGGTGGTGACTCTGCAGATGTCTGTCTTCTGGTTTGTGAAATGTACTCTGGTAGAAGTTTACCGACGTTTCGGGGGTCCCTGCTGTCTCCATCATCAGAGCGATTCCTTCTCTTGGGAAATGTGGTTTTATAAAGAGTTGGTATCTCCTGATATTGGAAGCTCACGAATGTGTTGTTAACGGAGGTTTAGCACGTGACATAATCAGGTTAATGAGACAGGACCTCGGCGGTACCATGACAACCCGATGTTAAACACAAATTGACAGGAATACGGAAACGCTAAGATAGACCATCAACAAACACAGGAACCCCCGATTTAAATACATAATCTATAAACGAAGCCATACTTGGAGAAGCAAGTAATTTCAGGTATCGGCCTCAAAAATCTATGTTTTCTCGGATGTGACATCGTGAGATCTTCCAGGTGGCTATATCACCACAGACACCAAGCATTTAAATGTGCAGTAATAAATGTTTACGGTCGGTAAGTCGCTTGTTCCTTCTAAGTGTGGATTTATGATAAGCTGTCCGAGCCTTGTGTACGTATAATGGGAAGTATCATTAGATAACCAAAAGCGTCGAACGGAAAGTAGGTCACCTCGAACAAATCTCTTTCCGTTACACCGAACTTCCATCAAGTGAACACATCGCGAAATGGACCTCGTTCTCACAGGAGCAGGGTCTGACAATAGGCTTCATCTGTCTGGGTCAGCGAACAACGTAATAAACCTCCGAGTCCCATACAAGGGAGTGAATTTCTAAACCAGCTGAGTTACTGTCAGCTTTTGCTCCAAGAATTTAGTATCAACATTTTCAGAGGCGAACAATAAGGGAGTGAGCCACATCAGATAACACAGCGAAGGAGAGAGCACACATTTCGAGGGAACGCCTGTACCTAGCGAGGGGCGGGGGGGGATGTTACATGCATGTGAAAGAGTTAATTAGAAATGCAGGCCCTACGGCGTCCTAAGAACCGACACAAGACAGTAATATGGTTATTTAAAAACCAGCACGGCAAGTGTTGGACACCTCCCATCAGGAGAGCGCTACACCACGCAACATCAGAATCTCGGCAGCTCGAAATAGTGACGGACGACCGGAGTTCTTATCCCGCTAGGTGCAGGGGTTCTCGGGTTTATTCTCTTCACCGCAGTGTCCACACCGGCGCCGGGGTCCTTGATCACTATGTCCACCTAGTACCGAGGCTAAGAATCAGTAGAGTTACACCTTCACTTCACCATACGTCTGTGTGGTATAACGCAACTTTACCTTACTTAAGAGTAAGTTCCGCAGGAGAGTTGGTTACCACCGAATGCCGACCGCTACCCTGGTACACCAGGTCGAAATGTCGGGTCTGAGTGCGGTCACTTTGTGTTCCTGCAGATGAAAGCCAGGCGGCACTTCAAGCAACTTAACCTTACATTCGATAGTCGCCGGACAATATCGGACAGCGTTGTCCTCACAGAGACCGAGGAGGGTAGAACTGGATGAAAATTAATTAAACATGAGAGAAATTATAAATAAATATAAAATGTTGACCCAAAAACCTGAAGGGAAGAAGACGACGTTTCGGTGACTTAACCCGTTATTGTGTATTCAGTTATAAATGACTGTGAATCATATTATTTATTTCATGAATGTTAAGTAAGAACAAATCAGAGGTCTGGAATTATTTCTCTCTAGCGTTGTGCAGTGTTTGTGGGGGGGGGCATTATTTAAGAGGTCATTAAAGATACGCAGAGAATATGAATCTAACAACTACACGTAGTTTCAAGAATAAAGCATAAATTTATTATATAATTATTTTGGCACATTTAAAAAACACATGGCGAATGACGGGCTACTTCAGCGAGTATTAAAGATGCTTAAAATTATTTATCTAAACTGCTCCTGCGGACAAATAATCAACACTTTCCATTGATATAAGAGTGAAAGTGCTGTGGTTGTCAAAGTCAAATCGTCACTTAGCACTTATGTGTTTGGCGCAGGCGTCTCCTGTCTGTAGGAAGCAAAACTTTTATAGCGTTTCAAGCCTAAAAGATTTTCCGGAGCGCGAACTAACTCGATGCTTTCCCTCAAGAAAAGAAAATGTTTCCATCAAAGGGGGAAAATGAAAAAACTTCTCGTCAAAAGGAGTAATTTCCCCAGTTAAAACCAAACAGCATCCTTTTCCGCTTTAAAGATTGGGGAAGGGGACAAACTGTCAAGACGGAAATTTCCTTCAATCGTCTTAAGTGAAAAATGAAGCATTGAAACGAAGGTGGTGTGTGACTGCGCCAGTTTTAGATCACCAAGCCTCTTAAAATTCACTGTTGCCTTACGACCAAGAGCAAGGTGGTTTTCAAAATTCTAAGCCCCTTGCATGTTCATACGCCACTCGCACTGATCAGGATTGCCGGCTAAGCTAGTTAAACAAAATTAATTTCACCTTCTCAATGAGTATAAAGATGGCGGTCTTCTGAGGAATGTCGTGTGTGCAGTCTGGTAAGATTTGGTGACGACTGAGAAGTGTCTGTGGTCTTCAACATCAGGACGGTTAGTGCTCTGATGATGAGACAGTACGATCTTCCGAAACGTGTCGGTCAATACTTAATATTATTATGCGTAACACCTTGCAAATAAAATATCTCCTGTTCCATCTCTTTGTCGGACGATCCTGCATCTTCGTCCGTCAGTGTATATTGATACAGCGGCTTTCTGATTCGGTTGTCAGTAATCCTTTGTAAACGTTCTAGCTGTTTGGTCTGATAGTTTCATTACCGTATGGCCCCAATTCAACACAGTTTTACAGTCTTCCTCTCTGCCACATGTCTAACGAAATTCAACATTGAAAACATAAACTACGAAACTTCAGACGTCCTACGTGTGCTTTACGACAACTGAACGTTCTTTATAGTGAACAGGGAAATAAATTTCTACAACAAAACAAAAAAAGTGTGTACAGTTGGCAGCACTGACGCCAGTAAGATACACACGTCACTTGCACTCCAACCAATCAAACCAATAACCGGTACATGATTACAGATAATTCGTTGTAACGTTACCTGGTGATGAAGTGTGTTGCTGGCAGCTTTATCTCCTGTAACAGAGAGAGAATCTGTAAATATTTAAACGTCGTACGCATGAAGAACATTTATCTGGCATAAATTGTTATGCAATGCGGTAAACTACCTGAAGATGGCTGTCTTATGGGTTACAGCGCCGTGAAATCTGGTACAAACTTACCGACGTTCCAACATCAGGGCTCGCCCTGAGGTAGTAACTACCTCTGAAACGTCGGCCAATTTCTACACGGCGCAACATCCCAAAAAACAGCTGCATTCAGACTCGTCGCCCTGAGAACGTGAAATGTCACTTGGTAAATGACTTAGCTACATATCTGCAGGGTAGATACCCACAGAAGTTAACACACACAGTTCATGAGACAGATTTTTCTCCGAAACGTCATAATAATACGGGGTCACAACCCAGAGGACCACAATATGAAACAAATTCCTGTTCTTATAATATATTTTGTACGAGACTGCATCAGTTCTGTGTAGAATGTGACAAGAAGATGTACGTATATTAAAATGCATTAATTAGAATCCATGGTTATTCTAAACCTATCACGTGTGTCCATCCTTATTTTGAATTACGGTGTGTAAACTTCTCGGAATTGCTAATAGGCCGACTGAATTTAGATCTGATTCAGTAGCTGTGTTAAAATAAGAGGTACACGAGGAGAAAGAACAAGAATAATTTCGCGGGAAAGCGTCAGCTGCGTCCGCCGGGGGTTTTTCCTGCATTTTCCAGCACGCCTCAAAAAAGCTCATCCGCATATAAACCACGGCACTGCTGGCGAGGCACGACCATTCAGGTCAAGAAACGAACCGTCAGCTTTGCGGTAAGTAGGATTACCTTTACTTACTCTTCATAACAGCGTCACTAAACTGACCACAAGATCATGTTCATGAACCCGTAATTAAACTGTAGACGCCACTTTATTACATTGGCACTACAAACTTTAACTTTTAATTTCTGTCCAAAGTACCTTAAGTCACTTTAAAACATATCAGTAACTATTTCTACCACACGCCTCAACATCAAATAATTCTGCATTTTGCTCACAAAATACAAATTGTTTCGCACCACGATCTGAATAAACAACGATTATTTCAATAAACCTAATTAACCAAAATGATCGCTGTAATGGAGATAAGCTGTGTTTTCTTTGAGGTACAGACTGAATTCTTAAATATTTTTTGACGAATTTCGTGGTTCAAACGGTTAACAACGCTCATCCTGCGTTACCTAATTTACGTCTCAGTGTTAATTTAATTACACAAAACGTTAAACCCCATCTCGTGTATGTTCAAGCAACATTCCAGTTTCGAGTGCTTACAATCCGGGACCACCTTTACTCCAGTTCAAAAATCATTCTTTAATTCTGAACATCTTGTCCTAGGAGCGGATGAAGACAATCCGAACATTATTATGGATATCTGGTCCTGTTGTAATCTCCATTCACATAGGTTCCAAGACCACTATATATGCAGATGAGTTGAAAAATACACTCATGTCCTATTGCTCCCATAAGAATAAAACTGGGCAGATTGAGAAGGTAGCTGAATTACCGATCCTTCTAGGGACGACAATTCCTGCCATGAAGAAGTGTGTGCATGTGGAGGCATGGTTCCAGAAACAAAATGATTTAGACCCTGAGTATAACTTTAACTGATGTACCACGAAGCAAGACTTATGTTGTTTGCTGAGAGCACATGCATCAGTTCGGTGATATCCTGTGAGAAAAAGGACAACGTCACAGGATTCTAAGAAGTGGCACCCCAACAACCTGAGTCAACAGTCCCCCCATTAGCTGGTGTCCGGGGTCCCTTTTACATGTACGCTACATACGAAGCCCAACACGGAGGCAGGTCCGTCTCTCTGTGAACCTGCAGGTCACAGGCAGGCGAACACAGGAAGGGACGAACGAAAATCGCGGTAGTGAAGCAGAGGGAAAGAACGGCACTAGGAGAGGGCGGGGTGCGAAGCCAGTACTGAGGGCAACAGCGTTATATGTACGAGATATGGTACACACAGACAGAGAATATGTCGTGCCCAGAGAAAACCACGCGCGGTTCCTAGGTTTCGAGGGCGTAGAGCTTAACCTCCACGCCTTCATACGTCTTCACGGCTTGGGAATTAATGAATCACTAGGTAGAAGTTCAAAGACCCTACCGCTGGACCCATCATGAGATTCCGATGAAATACAAGAACAAAACGGGGAACGATGAACAGGAAGAAGTAGACGATAAGAAAGTAACAGGCTTGTTTTGGGTCTCTGTATTATAATACATCTGTTATACATCTAGTCTAGTGAGAAAATCTACAATTAATCAGTCTCGCTTACCCATGATAAACTTTATCCATTGCACTTAAACACTAATAAACAAAGTTTCCTTTCTAAAACAACGACATTCTTTCGACCAATAGAGGATTGAACAAATTCATTAGCTACGTATGATTAAAATCACCAGAACCTGAACCCATGTTCGGCCTTCCAAGATGACTGATGATAGTCGCGTTTTAGTATCAGCTCGCGGACTCTTTTGAAAACGTAACAGAATTTATCATTCACACCCCAACATAACCTCAACAAAGAAATTAATCTTCGTATTTGTCAGGGAGAGAAGACTGCAGGCAGTGTCTGCATGTTTACACGCATCAAGGCAGGTAGACAGCGTGGAGAAACGGAAGATGGATTTCCGATGGAGAACAAAACACATCACCTCGGGAACCCTTTTCTATCAGCCAACTCTTATCATCGAACGAGGTTCCACACAATTCCTATTATTCCTATTACGAGCGTGAGAATTTGTAATGTCCCTGGCCACCTCCCTCCCTGTCGACATACAAACGCACACACATCATGACTAAATAAAGTTGAAGTGTGTCTAATTAACTACTTGGACAAGGATCCCACGTCACAAGATTATATTCGTTCGTCAATTGAAGAAATTTCTAGCCTTCCGTGATGTCACTAAGGGTCACTGTCGCGTTCACTACAGCCCGCGATTTTGACTTTATCTCGAGCCAAATGTATATAATGTGATGCTCACATCCTATTTCTTAAAGACCCGTTTTAGTATTATCCTCCCATCTACACCTAGGTCCTCGAATGTGCATAGTAAAATTATGTAAATAAGGCCAACATCAGATTAAGACAATTAACTTCCGCTCCTGATGAGACACCACACGAGAAGTTTGATAATAATAATCATTTGAGCACAATGTTGTGTCCCAATTATTCAGAATGCTCTAATAGGACAGTAAGTGCGCACTCAAGGGACGAAGACCTTCTCGCCCTACTTCAGTTCCTCAACGTGAACGATCATCATCGGTTGAACAAGCGTCTGCAACAACAGCAACCTACGAAACAAACTCTGTTCATTTTCAAAATTTGTCACAGAAATTCTAGCGCAAAATAAAAAAAATCCTCATATTTCTAAGCTCTCGTTTCTTGCATCCTCGACTGTCATCTGAACGCGCTCTCTGTGCTCATCTCCGAAACCAGTCGACAGATTTCCACGAAATTTGGCACTAAGTGTCTGCTCCCAAGCCAAAATCAACTTACAAGGAGGGGTGGATCAGTAATCCGATTTATGAGATAGTTAACAGGCGTAAACTCGCCTAAATCAAGTCAAACTTACAAAACTCCTGAAGATAGACAAAGACGCGCGAAACACAATCGAATTAAACTGTCTTGTCAGGAAATCTCAATCCTTAACTTGTGGCACTGATGCCTTAAAAGCATTACTTAATCTCGTGTCGCGTGGTTTTGAGGTACTGAAAATATTCCAACGCCTAAGATGTCCCTTGCGCCTGTAATGCGCTAAGAGTTGCGTGCGATGACCGATCGGAACGGCTTTTTGCAAACAGTCGGAGAAATAATAACAGATCGGGAAGCATTCGTTTGCGAGGAAGGGGGACATAGGCAGAGGGCCGGAGTACGATAATAATCAGAGATATTATATTTTTTATTCACTCTGGCAGACATGACAGCTTAAACTTCGACCTTTAGCACATGGAAACGTAATATTCATGCTCTTGAAGACAGGGTCTTTTATGTGGAAAACATAACTGGTCAGTTCTGCATGACGTATTATTTTCAATGCATCAACTATCCTGAATTCATCCCTGGACCCTGTACGACACTTGAACCCGGTGGTTAGGTTAGCATCCCCTGAACGTAGTCGCTGTAAATCAGGTCTATTATGCAGTAAAAGACCCACAGAGGTCGTGTATGTTACCACGCCATTTCGTGGTCTACACCAAAATAATTTCACCTGTCGGCATCATTCAGTGTAAATCACTAGCTGTTTTGTCAACGTCAAATCAAATCATCATAAATCAATCATCAAAGCGACTGTCTAATCACCATACATCAAACATTTTACGGTCCTCCCACTCGTATCAATAAACCCTTGTGATGTTGAAATCCTACACATACGAAGACGATCGATTCTTCGTAATTTAAGCTCGACGTCGGGTTTTCTTGGCGGCGAATATGAGACGTGATCTTATTGGTTGTAACGTCGTGTGGACCTGTAGGCAGATAGCAGGGTTTCGGAAAGAATAATGCCTCCATCTTAAGGGCGGTATACGGTTTCTCTTAATTCGTTATCTGATTCATGAACAAGACCAGATATCAATTTATCAACCAATCGGCGTCTGGAGTTTCCAAACGCTTCCTAACCCATCCGTAGTCAATGATGATCACCTCCTGCCCTCACACGTCACAGGCTAGAGAGGTGACTTCCACTACTTTTATTGATCGTCATGGTAACGCCACTGCGCGGCCTTTATGTATGAAACGTCTGTTTGCGTTACGTTCCTTGCTCTCCGCACTTGACGACAAAGACTTAATTTCCCTGGAACGATTGACTACACATTCCCAGAAAAAGTGCTAATTACTAAGGTGTAAAGGATAGTGATTAGTTCTGTCTTATTCATTTGCTGAAAGGTTAATTAACGCGGTGGCATGTGATAAATGATAACTTACTGGGTAAAGTCAAAATACCATAAACAGAAACACAA